AAAAATATAATTTATAAATGTCCCCTTTGACTTTAATTATAGGAAATGAAGAAAATGTTCTGTAATTAAAATAGAAAAAAGGGAAAAAAATATTGTTATGTAATGTAATATATAAAAATTCTAAACCTAAGTATATAAACCTACATTATAGATTAGTAAATCATGACAACTTATGTTTTTTTACATTAACTCATCAAAATGAATTAAGTAAATGTAACTTTTTAAATAAGTTATGTGAAATTTAACTATTTTTTTAATAATGTAATTTAAATTAAAATGACTTGTACATTTGTATATACTTATACTTAATTTAAGGCAGCAACTGAACTTTTAAAAATTTTTACAGAGTTTTTCTGGCTCTGGTTTGTAAAAGCAGTCTTACTATTGTGGCTCAATTTGTTGAACCAATTCAGCAATGAGCTTTCCACAACAGGACAAGAGCTGGCAGACGAAAGAGGCTCTTGGAAGGGAAGGGAAGGCTTTGGTGGTTACGCTCTGACTCTTTATCTTACTTGCTGGGCAATTACAGAATCATGGGTCAACCATGCATGTAACCACAGCTTCGTTGCACAGTAGCAGATGTACTCATGGCATTAGCTGGTAGGAGCGTGAAGGTAAACATAAACAGATGCAGCTGGTTGCTAGGGACACTCGCCAACTTGTGTGCCCTAATGATTCCCATGTGTGCGGGTGCAGATCTGCAGCAGTGGGCAGAATGCAGGCATACGCTGTGTTTCAGAGTTTCTCAATGGGATATTTGTGAATGAGTTTAGCAGCAGTGGTTTTTGGGAGGGTGTTCCCTGTTGGCATCGTGCCCCTCCTAGTAAGTTAAAGCTGATTAAGCCGTTTTCTCTGTGTCTTCAATTTGCCATTGGTTATAATGTTTTGAAATGAATGGAAAAGTCTTTTTTATTAGTGTGCCACATGAGTGGTATGAAGAGATTGCTCTTAAAGCCCATTTGCTTTCGCAAAAATGGTCTTTTTATTGCATACATCATTGTATAACGAAGATGAATGTAACATCTATTTGTGGTTGTACATTAGGCCTAATCTACAACTTCCCATTTGCGTATCATACAAAGCAATTCCAAAAATAGCTCAAGACATATAATGGATGCTTCATGTTATTTCATAACACAACTGTGGGCTCCGAAAGTCTGAGACCACATTGAAAATTTGAGATTACAAATCTAATTTAATCCTGCAAATATAAATTTTTTTAGGATTTTTGATGTCATATAAATAAGAAACATTTAAGTATTCAATTAAACTTTTCAGTCAGATTGTTATGCTAATAGTGTAATTTATAATAGAAAAATTGAAACATTTTCACTAGTTGACTTTTGAACCCACACTACCACTCAAACGTTTGAGGTTGGTAAGATTTTTAAAAAATGTTTTTTTGATTTAAATGTATTTAATTGAATACATTTTATGCATTTTTTTTGTTTTAAGATTGTTCGAATAAAAAGCTTAAAAGAACAGCATTTATTTAAAATAGTAATCTTTTGTAACATTATAATTATACATGTCTTTGCTGTCAGTTTTGATTACTTTAATGCATCCTCGCTGAATAAAAGTAATCATTTCTTTCAAAAAATAAAAAATAAATAAACTAAGGTGATGTAATTTATAAGAAAACAAACCACTGAAATTTGTAGCATTTTTAATAAAAATAAATTTTTTTGTTAATGGTCTCTTACTTAGGAACTCCACTTATATCAAATAAAACAAACTACATTTTTATTATTATAACATCTTTTTAAATATTTCTATCCACAAGCTGCTTTTCTCAGTGTAGGCTAAGGAAACAAAAAATGTTTTTCAAAGGCAGCTATGGTAATTTCTCAAAGGTCAAAGGTTATATCCAATGCAGTCTTTGGTGTAATTCTGTGACGATGAAGAATCACATGATCACTTGTGCTATGAAGCTCCTTGGCAAACCTACCTTTCATCTTTTTTCTTTTCTGACTGTGACCGGTATGCAGCGGTAAGCAGGACAGACAGATTTAGATTTAACTGTGACACACATTGCACTGTCTTGTCCTGGTCTAAGCTAAAATCTATTAAGCAGGCGATGTTTGCAGTTTAGGTGAAGCGTTATAGTTCACCGAGGCCTGGTTTCGGCGATTGTCAGTTTGAACTAGTTTCGTACGTGCCTGATGTTGCAGTGTCTGGGAGGTCTCTTTTTGAACCGTGTCCAGGCCTGTAGCCCAGATGAGATCTTTAGGAAGGGGCTCAGTTTTTGTGATATCCTGTGTGTGTTCGCCATCTGATTACACACAAGGCCCGATTCCTCTCTGTGAGTGTGTGTTAATGACATCCAGGTTAAACAGACTTCCAAAGAGCTCCGTGGAACCAAAGCGAAGGCTGATATTTTGATTAGAAAACGATTTCGCTTACATCCACTGCTTCTGTTTGACTGGAATGAGTTGCTCCAGATCTCGGTGTCAAACTCCCCCACTCTCCCTCCCCTTCTCCCAGCATCCTCTTTGCCGTGAAGCCCTCTGCCAACAGCCTGCGCCTCTCCTTTCTCTCTCTCATTAACCACAACTGTCAGATCCTCCAGATGATGAGCAATTAAACCAGATAATAAACGCTTGCCATCAATTCCTGCTTGTTTGTTGTTGTTGTTGTCGTTGGCGGCAGGGGC